ATCAACATTTGTTATCCCTGGTTCCATGTTAAATGTCCACACCACCACAAGATGCATATTTTGCTTTGGTTAACATGGACAATTTCAAACCTGGCTTTCAACTTTCAACATAGATTTTCTTTTAATGTTCCATGTTAAAGGGTAAAAACCTCAAAACCGTGTAAATACCGCGTAAAAAGTGCCAAGTTCCATGTTAAGCTCTGAAATTGCCAAAATCGTGATTTTTGAGGTTAACCTGGACCATCCCGCACCAGTTTCACCCCTCAATTAACATGGGCAAAAAATATTTTTATTTGTTTTTGTCCATGTTATTTTGCCAGGGAGTAATCGCGCACCAAAGCGAGCATTCGATTTTGGGACACGCCATGACTAGGTCTACGTTTGGGGCATTTTGCGGTAGCCCTTAGTGTCAGGTTCTGAACCCATTGCCACGCAGCAAAACAAGAGCGCTTTCCACATGGGATTTTTTGAAACCATTAGCACCCTATTGGAGATTGAAGGAAACTGTATCTGCAATGTCCAATGAGGGGCACAAGATCGAAAGTGCCCTGACACATTGGGTTGCCTGATTGCCATTTGATTGCCATTCTAGCTGGCAGAGCAAAAGCTACACGTGAGCAGCGGCCCGAATCTTAATGAGAATCTGTTCTTCACTGACTGTATCAATGATTCGCACACACACGCCAAACACTAAATGGAAGAAAACTAGGAAAACTAGGAAGAAACTATGATTCAAACTATGATGCTGATCACTTTACTTTACATTGTTTGATATTGTTTGTACCTTACATGAATCATGTTTGGATATGTTTGGTACGCGTGGCGGCAACCCTCTGAGATCCACGCTCGTGCCTCCTTGCATCCAACGGGCGCCGTTTGAAGCTGCCCCCATTGGCCTCGCACGGGCACTGCGGGCTGGGTGCCTCGACGACTGCTGGATTTGCATGGAGCTTTGCTGACTTCGGGTGGGATATGGTAGGATCACCTTAACGTGAATCTGAATAATATCTAATATCTAAAACGTCAAAAACCATGGAATGACTGTCCGTCCATCAGCTTTCCCTGTTGCCAAAGGTTTCAGCAGGTGCTGGTGATGAAAATTAAAATGAAACCTAGCTACAGTAGAGCCCTGCACGTCCCCTCCATGCTGCCTGGTACCAACTTCTGGTACCCACCACAATTTCCGCGTTTCGCCACCTGGAAGGGCAAGGCACAATCGCTAACTACGCATATCTGACTGCCGGGCCACTTCAATAGCTACCATGTTGGGTCTTGGCATGTCTTGGCATGAGGACAAAACTGGTGATTTCAACCTAATCCTCAGAAGATCTAAAAAACAAAAACGTGGCAACTGGAATGCGCTGCGTCGCATCAGCCTGGCAGCTCCCAATCGGCTTGGCCGACTGTAGAGGTGCCTCAGCTGGGTTCAACCTGCCTCACACCACCAACGTTTGCACTTGCAACCGAAGAATCCTGGAATGCCAACTCTCGCAATGCATGTTTGCTAATGAGATCACGACTCTTGGAATACTTCCGGGAACAAGTTGTAACTTACATGTTTGGATGCTGAACATCTGCCATTTCTGAAACACAAAAGTTTGGCCATAGCCATTTGTATTCCCACACCAGGGGTAAGTGTTGGAAGCAGGAAATAATAAGTCACTTATTAAGTTATGTTTGTTCTTGTCCACCGGAGGGGTCAGGGCTCAGGGCGCTAAGCGGGACGTGGTGCAAGGATTCACTTCATGTCAGGGCTCTATCTCATTCCAGGGGTACATCTGTGAACGCGCTAAGCAGATCTAAGCAGTGCCCTCAAAGTGCGAGCTGCGGCGCCAAAACCCACTGAACATCAGCATACATCAGTAGCTGGTAACAAAATTGTTCCGCTGCTTGGAACAACTTTTCCTGCCCAAGTGACCCTTCTAGCCCTGGATGTAGCTGTGGATAACTGGCTGGAGCTCGCCACTGGACTGCAATACAGACGAGCAATGATGAGCACGTACTGAGATACGGCAAACCTTTAAAAATTCCATGCACGTGTACGTCGGAAGACATGTGGGTATGCAGGTGCCAATCTATCTGTATCTATATCATTCTATATCTATGTCTATGTCTATGCATGTGTCCATATCCATGCCATATCCATATCATCTTTTGATACATAGCTAAGATTAAAATAAGACAAGATAAGACCAGACAAGGTAAGGTAAGGTAAGATAAGATAAGATAAGACAAGATAAGATTAAGATAATATGGATAAGGTTAGATTAGGTTAGATTCGATTTGATTAGGTTAGATTACATAAGACAGACGGACAAACAGACAGACAGACAGCCAGACAGACAAGCCGGCCAGTGCATAGATGAAATATGATGAAATGAAGTGCATTCTTACAACAGAAGTTGAAAGTGGGACGTGGGACCTGTGAATCACAGCCTCGTGGACGACTCGGTATGAGACTGTGAATTCTTGAGAAAATCATTTTTTCGAACGTAGAAGCACATGTCAAAAACTGCAATGGCACAACGTGGTACAACTCTCGGCAACAAAGCCATGGTTCCGTACTGTACCACGTTTATCCCAGCAGTCAACCGTCCAATCCAACCAGAACTCTCTCCTGGAGGCTTCGGCTTTTCTTTCTTCTTGGGAGGTTTGGATGCCACCTATCCCAATGCCAGAAACACGAAAGGCTCGAGACTCTTTGTATCTCTTTGTCATTGATCCGCCTAAATGCCACCATGATGCAGACATTTTCCACTTGCTGTTCCAAATACGCAAATACCTGACTGCTTCCTTGGAAAAAAAAAATGGCCCTCGACATATCGGAACATTTGATTCACATCATCATTATCATCGTCGATCTTTGATGAAGTGATCTAAATCCGAGATGGAACAAATGCACTCCTCTCAGACCTTGCAGGCTTGATTCATAAGACATTCCCCTATGAAACATACCCAACCTCATCGAGTGAGATGGTGGTGGGGAAGTGCCGAACAAATACAGCCAACACGACGACGAATACGGAAACAATGCCCCAAAGTATGGGACATGGCGATGCCCTCGCCATACAGACCTTCTTCAACTTGGCCTTGATGAACAACTTGCCTGTGCGTTTGCAAGGGAAGTGCGGAGAAACCAGTGGAGGTGCTCAGTCCAGCATCTCGAAAATTGAGAACTCACCATAACTCACACCAAAACATGACATGGATTAACAGTTGATTAACATGGCTCAAATGGCTATACTTTCTTTGCCAAACCAGGTCCCGCATTTGGAAACAAAGGCAGTGGCAGGCGAGCTGAGGCCGAGACCAGCATATTTTGAATCCCTTTCCAGCGGAAGCCATTCTTCAATGCCGTGGTACAAGTCAGAGAAAGGCAAATGTGCTTCCCCAACTTTCTGTTCGTTCCAGGTCCTTTGGAACTCGCTGTCATTATGTCATTCGCTGTAACTGCTACTGCATGCTACCGCTACGTGCAGCATAGATCTGTGTGGAGAGCAGGCGATTTGTATAGCTAAGCATCCCAGGAATATCCCAACCCTAAACTAGCCTACTCTAGAAGACTTGCAGTCCATGTTGGAAGGGATCCTCTACAATCTCTACGGGCAAATTTTGGCAGGAGGGCCGTCCTCTGATGATAGGCGAGAATGTGCAGGGAAGCGAGCTCATAGTCGTAATCTTTCCTGAGAATAATTGTGTCCTCCTCGCACGGGGCAGCGATAACTCATCAAGTTACAGGAACAGAATGCATAAAAATGCAATAAGTTCTCTGGCGTTCCCTTAAATCACGTTTCCTATCGTTTCCTATCGTTCCCTCATGAAGCCAGGTGCAGGAGGGTTCCAGGCTCGACGGTTAGACAGCTTCATCAAAGCCGGCCTCGCGCAGCGAGTAGGCAACCTGGGGCAAAGAAACAAGAACGCATAAGAACGCACGGAAAAACACCAGCACATCACAAACATTCACAAACATTTCACAAACACCATCTAAGATCATCTAAGAATCTAAGCCACTCCACATCACATAGCAAGAAAGAACGCCTTTAACTGCACATCGACAAGTGTGGCATCAATTTCTGTTGGTGTCAGGAACTCAGAATGGCTAATACTCAAGCAAGCCACTCAGGATCCTCGAAAGCCTTGTTCTTTTGGCCCTCTGGCCCATCTACCCATTCCTGATTTTCGCTTCAAACACAGAGAGGCAGGTGGTGTTACCGTCCCTTACAAACAGAGTCAAACAAAACCAATGGCTGAAACATGCTGAAACAACTCATCCTTTGCTGGATAGGCATGGACAGCCCAAGTGATGCTAACACCGAGATTCCGTTCTCTCCGGGTTGTGCCCATCGAGCCAGAACTCGACGCAATGTCGACCATCACCAGCAAGAGCCACAGCTTCTTTCACCTGGAACCGTGGATGACCATGAGCATGGTGAATGAGTGGTGAATGCAGATCCCTGTTGGGGTAGGAGATGGTAGGAGACACATTTCTGTGTGGTTCCATCCTGTTCCATCATGTTCCATCCCCCGTAAACGCTGTACTGCCAAAGCTTTGAAGACAAGGTGCTGTGATCTCCAACTGGCGGGTCATGGACACATCGGCTTCCCTTCTAGGGTGGACGAGGCATGGATGAACAATGATGAACATACTCTCTGGATGCCTGTTCGCTTTCTGAAGGTTTTGGCAACTCTCGGTATGCAAGGTTGGGGCGCGGCTTTGCAAATCGTGGAAGTGGGAAACGATACCCTTCCTCCAATTTTTGATAATCTCATGTAATCTCTGTTCCCCCCCTTGAGCCCCCAAGTCAAAGCAGCAACTCACTGACTCCAACTTGATCACGTGCCACTTGCACCGTCACTTGCACCCTCAATTCTACTTTCGTGAGTCCGCCCAACGAAACTCTTTCCATCTCTTCCCCTCATCTGGCTAGCATGGATCCTGGTATTTGAGGCTATTTGAGGCTGGCCCCTTCATGACGCGCAAAGGGAGTGCAGTGAATTTTGGGGACTCTTTTTGAACGAGCGTGGAGTTTTTTAATCAACCGGCACGAACTGAGTGTCTCGCGGAAATGCCATAGGCCTTGGAGATCTCATCAAATCCTGTAAGCTGAATGGAGTTGCAGTGATCCAACGTGTGTTTTCTTGGCTTCATGTGCCTGTGTCTGTTTCCGGCGGAAAACGAACATTGCGCACTGATCCAAAAGGCCATGCGGATGCAGACCCGCTGGCTGGTTACCGGCTTTTAAGCTTTTTCATGTCTTTGCTTCATGAATCCAATTGTCTCAGCATGACCCCCCCAATTTTTTTCAGTTCATCCCTGGTCCTCTGGCTCCAAGTGCATCCCGCAGCCAACACTTGCATCACGTGCATCTGCGCTGAGACCTTCAAGTCCTTCAAGTGCGTTGTCGCAATCTGCCTGGGGAGCATTGTCCGTCTCAGGGACGGCGCGTGCCACAGCCTGCAGCTTTTCAAAGAAATTGCTTGCTCTGTCCGGCTGAGCCACGCAAGCCCACGCCAAAAGGGACACATCCTCCGGCACAAAGTCTGCTAACTTGCCTTCAGCACACCGCAAACCTTTCTCCAAAAGAAGCGCAGCTTCGGAATTGTTGGAAGATTTCACCAGGGAAGCAGCTGACCAACATGTTCGAGCCAACGATGCTGCTGAGAACTCATGGATCCGATCCCGGCTTGAACTCAAGATTGTTGACGTCAATCTTGGATCGACAGGGGCTGTTTCTGCCAGCAAAGCGCATGCACCTGCACACTCCTCCAATTTTCGATGAGATACTTCTGGGTGGTGCAAGACTGCATGCACCTGCCACACAATCCTTTCAAGTTCACCTCCTTCTTGCAAACCTCGCAAGGACTGAGACAAGAAGCGCAGTAAATGCTGCTGTCGTGCAGGAGTTGTGCGTGGCGGATTGTGAAGCTCCGCAACGAAGCTGTTCAATGCTAGCAAGGCTTCGTGCCTTTCAGGATTTCTCTCCTGATTTAAAGATGCCACGATATCTTGCGGCAAATATGTGACTTGCTCCAATTCTGTCCGCTGAAGCTTCCGTTCCTTCTCTGAATCGGCTGAATCTTCCTCCAGCAAATCCCATTTCTTATACCATCTCTCAATGGGAGCCATGTTGGTGAGACCAAAAGTAAGAAGAACATGTCACTCCGCAAGAAAAACGTCAAATGATTCTGTTCCTTGACGTTCCTTGGTGGGTCCTGGCATAATCATCGTATGCATGTCCTGGCCCCGAAATGAGTTGTTCCAACTTTGCCCGAACAGAAAACCTTTGGTATTTTTGATCCAGCGGGCTTTGGGAAAACAAGTCCTTACAGATGTTACAGTAGCTGCTGTCAGTTTAGTCAGCCGGTGTTGGAACATGCAAACTACCCCTTCAGGAGCTTAGACACGTCACTGTGCAAACTACACATGCTGCATATGTTTAAAGTTTATGCTCTTGAGACCCTTGACATCTCGCGTTCGATGCTTCAAACTTTGCAGGGACTTCCGCCTACGTCCCTATGTCTTTACACCTGGAAGAATCCAGAGCAAAGCTTGAACGATCGTTAACATGTCTCTTTGCAGGAGCGCTGTGGTACATGAATACCGAACCGGACAGGTTCCAATTACCAAGATTGAAACCGGATCAAACCGTGGCCTTCCTGCGAAGAGCAGATGGGTAAGCAGTGACAGCTCAAAGTTGTCAGTGTAAAGTGTTTCTTTTAATCGCTGCTGGTCAGATCGATGAATGTCACTGACGACAATCATCTTTAACGAGCCTATGGACGGTGAAACAGGTGGTGACCGGGGCGACCAGTCATTCAGCCCTGGCAAAGAGAAACATTCGAAGAGGAAGACGTCACAATTCCAATAGCTCTTTCCTTGGGGCAAAACTCGTACGCCATTCCCAATTGAACCTGCGTTTCTCTTGGGGCGTGGGAAATGGTTGACGTCTTGTCCTTTCAGAATGCGTTTCGGTTATGGTTTGATGGTTTGCTACATTTTGCTACCATGAACCGCTTCGCGGTTCGCCGCTTAGGTACAGAAAGCTGGTTTAGGATCCCTGGCAACAGGGTGTTCCAGGTGAGACTTGTCAAGAAATGGGTCAGGGCACATTCTCTGCTCCGTCCCGTGATAAAGCGGCGCATCATGAGACAATTTCATTGCAGCTGACTCGAAATACTGTTGCAAGTGAAGTTCCAACTTTTCATGTTCTTTCTTTTGAGGGCTTTTTTGGACACATGCCCAGAAACGCGTCCATGAGTCGGAGGCTCCATGGGCAGCATTCAGAATTGGCCGCTTCATCTGGGCCATCTGGGGGGCAGTGGCCTTGGCAGCCCGTAAGCTTTGCGCTTGATTTTGGTATTTGCGTAAGACATCCTCGTAGATCATCAGCTTCAATCGCGGTGGGCCCTTGAATGAATTTGGGGCTTCGGTCTCTGCATCTGCAACAGTAGGGTGATCGAAGTCAGCATCAACATTGTCCAACAGAGCATCGAAAATCCGATGGCCCGTTCTGAACTCATTCCTAAGTGCACAGTTTGGACACCAAATCCGTTTATTTAAGATATTCAATAACAGCTCGGCTAGCTACATTAAAGTACTGCAATCTGACTCCACAACGTAACATGGAAAATTGATGAAAATTGAACATTTCTAAAACCAACTCCCAGATGCTCATCTGCCACTTCCTCATTGTACTTCATTCCTTGCCTTGCTTGTAACTTGACATCAGACACCAACTTATGCATTGGGGCTAAGTCATTCTTCACGTCATTCTTGGCCCTCATGTCCAGCTCTATGGGCGAAAGTCGTTGAGTGGTTCCGGCACCGCATGACTGCAGCGCTGCAAGCAAACGACCAAAGGTCGCCTCTCCGTTGTTGGCCACGTCCAGGATGTCAAACAGGGCTTGAGCTGGGACTCCCGGCTGAAGTTCAGCCAGGCGAGGATCCGAACTACGACTCTTGTCACAGAGCCCAATTTCCACCATTTGCTCTGCAAAAGACGTGCTGTCCAAAAGCCTGTGGTGGTCAAGGTCCATAAATGGATCGCTGAGGCGCTCGTGCTGCTGCCAGCAACGAACACGCAAATCTTCAAGCACTGATGCAGGTGCGAAATGACGGACACCTTGGACAAATTCTTTGATGGTCAAGCGTCCATCATGGTCAATGTCAATCAAATTGAAGAGAACCTTTGTCTCTTTCTCACTCATGGACAAGGGCAGCAAAAGCTCTTGAAATTTCTTCAGGAACAGTTTCGGGGCTGCAGCACAATCGTTCAGAGCGCTGTCCTGGCAAGACAAGCACTGACATCAAAGAGACTCTGATCACAAGTGTCTGACAAAAGTGGCAACCCTCTGAGGATTCAGGCTGGTCCCCTACCTTTGGGGGAGGTCTGATGAAGTTTAAGGATGTTTAAGGTAATTTAGGGTTTACTCCCCTGAATACCTCAGCAAAAAGGACCATCGCACAGCGGCTGTCCTGGAAAGAATCCGCAAACTGCGCCTTAAAACTGCGAAAACGTTGCCTCACCTTCTTGCGAAGGTCTTCCAAAAAGAGGGATGGCTCTGATAAGCCAATTGCAGAGACAAATTCATTGCGAGAGATCTCATGGGATCCGTCCACGTCAATCTCTCGGAACATCTTCCGAGCCTCGTGCTCTGTTAAATGCAAACGATCCATGATCTTCACGACAAATTCTGCATGGCTGACTTTGCCACTTCGATCCATGTCCAGATCAGAGAAAGCCTTTTTGAAGTCACCATTGTACCTTCTCTGCAACCTGTCGCGCAGATCTTCAAGCAAAAGACATGGAGACACAACCGCCAAGGCAGCAGCCAGGTCCCCCAACATAACTCGAACTCCTTGCCCTCCTTGTGCTTTTATATCTTTATCCGTTTCATGGCATACAGCCTTGAAAACCGCCAGGTGTTCTTCGGGGTCGTTCACGTTCACCAACTGCAGTCTGCTCCCAAACTCCTGCAAGGTGAGCCGATGCGTCAGAGCCACATGGGAATTGTCTGCCATAATCATGATGGCTTGCAACATGGTGTAGCGGCAGGCTAACCATCGTCTTCGCAAATCCTCCACCGAACGGACAGGGGCACTGGCTTCCACAATCACGTAGAAACCGACCAAAGTCACACGACCAACTGACTTGAAGTCCAACCGGTCGAAGATGCCTAGTGCTGAAATGTGCTGAAACGTGCTGAAATGTGCTGAAATGTGAAGTATTGGCGTGGCCAACTGAACATGTGCTCCATTGCAGTCTTCCCCAGGGAGGGTGACCCAGAAAAATGCAAAATCTCCATGACTGACATATTGGTCTGAAAATGCAACTAACTTCGGGTTTCCATACTTTGCATAGAAAACTGGCAATCAAAGTGGCATCCACGCTTTTGAATGGATGTGCCTCCGCGATTCTGGCCCAATTATGATTTATGTTGACATTCAGATTGGCAATCGATGAGACGGTTCAGACTCCGAAAGGCTAATAATTATAGGGCACGCGCATCACTTTGGGCACCCCCCTGACATCGCACACTCCTCACACTTTGGACGCTCACTTTGGGCACCCAGTGACGCATCACTTTGGGCACCCATGTCAATCCCCCTTGGGGTGGGGTTGGGGTGGGGCGGGGTGGGATGTTAACGTTCACTGGAACTACACATCCAAGAACAACGAGGTGGGGGTGGGGTGGGGTGGGGTGGGGTGGGGCGGGGTGGGGTGGGTGCGATAACGTCCTTTGGCTCTTGGCACAGGGCCTATTTGCTACGCTATGGCTATGATATCTTCTCTTGCATTTGCACACCAGCATGATGCCCTGCTATCAGATCATCTCCTGCACTTGCGCACCGACATGATGCTACGCGATCAGATCTCTGTTGTTGTTGTTGCTGGTGATGATGATGATGATGATGATGATGATGCTGATGATGATGATGATGATGACGACGACGACGATGACGATGAAATATGTCTGTTGTTGATGGTGATGATGGTCATGACGATCATGGGGGGCCGAAGCGATGCACGAGCGGGCGCCCGAAGCGAGAGGCTTGCCCTAATATACGGTTACGTAGCGATAAGTACTTTGGAAAACTGGGGCTCAAAGCATCACCTAGATGCTATCTCGAACCTGTTTGGATTGCCACTCAAAGCCATGACGTGCCAAAGCACGAGCGAGCTCAAGCTTTGTGATCTGCCTCAAGCAGCTTCCACATGTTTCGAATTTCCCGCATGAATCGTCCAATAACTGGTAATAAATTCAAATCATAGAACAAACATGAACAAACAATAGGTAGGTTTGCAAGATTTTGGAAGCTGTTTAAACAAACTGGTGATGCTGTCAACATTCGGAAACAACAACACGTTGGAAGAATCCGAAGAATCCTCAGTCCGATAGATGCGTCGCTCGAATGTCTCATCGCCACAGGGTGGGGCACCAGGTCCGTTATACAAAATGATGAAAACTGCTCTTCATGCCATTATGTTATTGTAAATTCGACTATATGACTATATTCATCTATATTCTATATTCTACTGCCTTTAAGTCCAAGTTTTCATGAGCAAAGGTGGGGAAATGCGTGGGGAAAGTCCGGTTCGTTTAAACAAATGTAGGAAAAGGGGACACCATTCCTGGTGCGACCAGCAACCGCTCTGGCAAGTCCTTCATGAAGGTCTCGAAGGCCTCTTGGATTTGTGCATCCCTCTTATGCATGGTTTATAGTGTGAGTTGGAAACATCCGAATAAAACGGTATGAAATCCGATGGACTTACAACCAACCAACATATCGGCTGAGACTGGGTCAACTCGGCTCAACAGTATAGACTCGATCTGCCCGATACTATGTTCATGCTGCATAACAAACGCTTGCTTTAGGAACGTTGTCTACTCCATCTTGCTGAGAAGCTGACGGCCTTAAGTTTAAGAATACATGTAGCATCATGTAGAATCATGTATATAACAGCTTTGGAATGTATACGGTGTGTACTGTGTAATATCCCATAGCTCCCCTGAATCTATCTGAATCTTACCGTTTCGATCTTTCGATCCCTTGGGCCTCTTTGATCGTGGTGAACTTTTCCAGCAGTTTGGTGCGAAAATCTTCCATGACGCCGCGGGAGCTCATACCAAAGCCAGGTAGGCTAGGAGCAAATCTTGTCTGGATTTGCCGACTGCTTCTGTGGCTAGGACTACTGGAGGACTCCCTCTGCTCACGAGGCACCAATTTGCTGTTGGGACCAGGTGGACCAGGTGACATCGATGACCTTCTGCCAACATAACCTGATTGCTTCCCATGCTTCCCCAAATCCTCTAAAAAAAAGAAAGCCAATAAAAAGGATTAAAAAGGGATCTATTTTCCAAATAGGAAAACCATGGAAAACCAGCGCTATTATTCAAAAATGCAACAGATGCTTTAATCACGAATTACCCAGCTACTGTAGGTTTCCAGCATCGAAGCACGACGTGGCTTTGGGATTGGCTTGCTTTCGTCCCTGTTCTTTGGATTCCGCGGGAAGATTCTGTCAAGAACCTGCCGAGTCCAAACGCACAGCCAACAAGCTGCAACCCTCATCCCACACTGCCAAGACTGTTGGAGTCTTGTTCTCATGCCTGACCAACGAATCCATATAAAGAAGTACAAAGAAGTACAAAGAAGAATGCTTTGGGACCTTTGTCTACCTTGTAGCCTATACAGCGTTTTGTTTTGTCAGTTCGGCAAACAGCCACGCATCTTCACAGCTCTTCAAGCATCAAATTGAAACCAAGTAGGGCCAAGTAGCATAGCTGACTTCCGGCTCGCTCGCCAAAGGCTCCACCTCTTCTGCCTTTTTCTTTGCGGCTTCAAGCCGCTTTAGTCTTTCTTCTTCCTTTGCCTTTTCTGCAGCAGTTGGCCCTGTCAAGCTTTGCTTGAGCTTTGGGTGCTGGAAAAACTTACCTTTCAGCACAGGCAGCATATGCCAGTTCTCTCTTGAAAGGTTTTGGCGCAATTCGCCGGCCGACTGCCAATAAACTGCGAGTTTCTCATCGAAATTGGAAGATGGGCCCGGGATCCGTTTGAAACACTGGAGCTCATCCTTTGAGAAACGTTGACTCGCAGGCCCCACTGGCCCTGGTTTGCTTTGTGACCTCTGTGAACGGCTCCGAGAGCCTTGTTCACTCCTAGGCCGCAGCTGTGGTTCACTGGAAGCTCGCTGTAGGTGGAGAGCAGTGGAGTCCGGTGCGCTGGAAGGTCTTTGGTCGTAGCTCATTTCAGATCCATCACCTGAAATCATTGAAATCATTAAATGGGTTGGTGGGGTTGGTTTGGGATGGTTTGGGGGTACCTGCTGATCGAGGTGACGGAGGTCAAAGCCTTAAAGTTGACGAATGTTTATCCTATTAGAACATCCTCTCTCCAATTAGGGTGGTGGGGTTGGGCTGGGAATGTGTTTGAACGGCTTTGAAGTATTTTGAGTTTATTTGTTTTTGGTTTTTAGGGTTCTCTACAAAATCCCAAACAGGGGCCTTAAGTCCACCCAAAAAAAAAAAGTACCCTTTAAAACGCCTACAAAATCACAAATATGGGTCAGATGCACACTGCACCTGCACTGCTACGCCCAAAGTCTCCCAAACTTTTGGGTCATGCCCATATACCCTGAAATAGCTCTACTACAAAATCTCTTTGTACAGCCGTCAACGGTTGGGATGGTATATTAGAATTATTAGATCTATTACAAAATCTATTGTGCTCACAATAGTAGAGCCTGTTTGAAAATTTTGAAACATCCGGCCTGTGAGCCTTTTGCCTTGCATGCCTTGCTGTGGCTGCTGCCACGCACCCTTCCAGGCCACGTCATCTTTTCCCCACGCCTCAACAGCCTCGGCGACTTCGGGGTCCAAAGGGGACATTCTATGGACATTCTGCCCACGGGATCCCACGAGGCCTTCCCCTGGAGCCAAAGTCAGGGTCGGCCAGTCACAAGATGCTGCGCCAAGCACAACAAATATACCTGAGATGATTGAACACATTAAACCAAATCAAATCAACTAAGCACGCCAAAGCTCAATTGTAAGCCAAGAAGTGAAAACATGTGACAACCGGCGATTGTTGATAGTCTTTCACCGTATTTCAGTTGCCAGCTCAGGATGATTCAGGTCGTGCACATCTTTGTGCCTGCAATTTACCAAATTTGCCTATTCCATCCTATTCCCCACACTGCCCATACGTCATCATACGTCATCATACGTCACGTTCGCATGGTGCGAAGAACAACTCCTTTGCCGAGGCCTTCGGATTCCTCGAGAGGTGGGTTTGAATTAGCCCAGGGCATTTGCGCCTAGGCCCGTGAAACCCCCAAACTTTTGGGCCTCAGTTTGGCCCGTGAAACGCCATTGGGAAAGGCTGGGCACATGAGTGATCATGTGCTGTGGGCCGGTTCAATCATGGATGGACATGCCATGCACTCTGCCGACCCCAAAGTTGCTCAAATATTGGATCAACATTTTGGAGCAGCTGTGAGTCGTTCATCTTTGGCTTCAACTTCTCCACAAAAATGTGATCGTGATCGTATGCCATCATTGCAGCCCTGCACCTACCAAACTTCAAATCATAGCCGCGCGCATACAGAAAAATACTATCCATTGATCTACCTGTCTATCTATTGAATAACTCTCTCTCTCTCTCTCTGTTGCCTTGACAATCTCCGGATAGCTATGGGTATGGATTTTCTGTGTCCGTTCCGGCACTTGTGAGTTCAAACGTCCCACATAAAAAGACCGCAAACCATTAAACCAAGTAGGAAAGAAAACATAATGAACACAGTACCGGTACTGTATATGAAACATTGAGGTTTGTAAAGGTACAAAGGTTTAGCGCAAACACACGCACATACGCAATATGTGGCTGGCTGTATCAATCTGAAACCACCACTGGTGCCAGTATATGTCAATCACATCAGCGAACATTTCCAGTGATAAAATGATAAAACATAATAAGTATAATTATACAGTATAAGTGCAATATAAGATATGAATAGATATGATAACATGGTGGCATTGTAAAAAACTGTGATGTCCAGCCGCCTTTCCCGCTGTGTGTTGAAAACATTTGTCACGAGGTCCTGGTTTCCAGGAGGGCATGGAAGTTTGCCAACATTGGCCAGGTCTGCCAACCTCTTTGGTCTGGACCTGGCCCTCCAAAAAAAGTGGTGGAAAAAGCTCCAGGATAAAAACCGTACCATAACTTCCATAACTCAATGACACTGTGACTCACATGGTACAAACAGAACAAACGGATACAAACGGAATTTTCCACCGTGCAAAGTAGAAAGTTTAATCAAAAAAAGCAGTAGTTCGAAAGAACCCTGCGGCATCAGCAGAGCGTTCACATGACTCTTCTGGCCTCCAGTTCCACATGCACACAGTTTTGTGCCATCTCTGTACTATCTGTACTGTTGTCGTGCAGTTTTCTCTTGTTGATTCTTGTTGAGTGTTGTTGCCTGTTGTCCCTGCCCTGTTTCTGTTGTTCCATTGGGTTCGCAGGGTTTACTGAACTCATCGAGGTCAACCCCTGGGCTTTTGACATCTAGCCCTCGGTCAAGCACGGAGGGACTGCTGCCACCTTGCTGTGAGGGGCTCACGCAATCTCTCGTGAACATTTTAATAATATGATTAGATATGATTATATAGTATATAGTATGCAAATGTAAATCATGTTGCGTGAAGCTGGCTTCAATTGGCAGCACAGCACCATGCAACCATCGTTCTGCGTCACAAATATCTGTTGAAGTCCCCAGTATTGGGCCATACCGTGGCCATACCCCTACTCTGGCCTACTCGGGCCGACCGGCCTACCCCAAATTTCAACAGGCGTCAGTTGGCCTTGGCTTGGACCACCCAAGGGCTCCAGCTTGATACCAGCCTTGCAGGCGTACGGTGATGGTTTCAAGAATTCACACCACATATCCTGGACAGATCTGGATAGCATCAATGTCAATGAATCAAATGATGGCAAAAGTGCGACTTACTCCTTGCAACTAAATCTGGTCAACATATTTCCCCCTTTAAGCACTGGTGGGTGAAGAAACAAATATGTAGACCGAGTTATATGGCATTGCGGCATATGTATCATATGTGATGATGCTTTGTGAGGCCACCCAGCACCATGATTAATGCATGCAATACATATAGATCTAAGAAAATCTTGGCCCTCATATCATTCATACCTCCAGCAATGTCTGATCTGTGGCCTGCTTCTACATCTACCACAACGACAGATCAAACATAACCCGTTCGTTTCTTTTCACGCCTTGACCTTGACGTGGCCTTTGCCAGCCACCTGGCTGAATCAGCACACAGAACATGTATATACTTCGTCAAGCCATCGGACAAAACGTAACGAAACTTCCTTACAAATCAAAAGAATAGCCAAAATGTTGGCCCAGGAGGTCTGGAGCAGTCTTGAGCATTTTGACATATTTTGACTGATGCCATCTCATGCTCAACGATTGAATAGTCACCACGACTCTTGAGCGTCCCAGTGCCTCACCAGGCTCTCCAAAGCCTGACCAATGGCTGTCATGGACCGGACATGGACAAGCATACTTGAAAAGACAGGTGAAAACAGGTGAAAGATTCAAAATTATTCAAACATCGCATAAAATTCAGAAGATTTGAAGATATTTGAAGTCACATTCAAATGATTTCAAATGTGCCCGGCCATGCACCGGCCATGAAGCGGCCATGTGCCATGTGCCATGCACCATGTACCGTTCGGATTCGGGTTATCTGCCTCCAGGGTCCTCAGAGTTCGACCTCGACACTGAGACTCACCCGACCGCACCCGACTGCTCATTCTCCGACAACGCGCACCGCGCACTGCATCACACTGCAATGCAAAAAAAATCAAAAAAACACATCAAATGAAATGAAAAATAATGAAAATAAAAAATAAAAACCTCAACAAAAACCTTTCGCCTAATGATGCAAGTGGAATCCACCCGATGCAAAATGCCAAGCGCCCAGCAATGGAAGATTGGCAGCACTGGAGGAGGTAGCAGGCGGCCTAGCTGCTCAAGTGGGCCAAGACTGCAGCCAGGTTTGGGTTCGGGTCAGAGATGATCCCCAAGGTGGACGATCCAATGTTGACATCAAAGTCAAACAGTCAATCAGCAAAAGAACAGAACAAAGAAAATATAGTTTAAAAAAAAACGACCAAAATCAATCCACGGCCCAGCAATATTCAAGCAATGACCAACCAACGAATCAACCAAGCATCAACCAAGCATCAACCAAGCATCAACCGAGTAACGTCAAACGTTGAAGTCTCTCATGTTAAGTCTCTCTCGTGTTAGTCTCACTCTCATGAAGAGTTAACGTTAAGTCAGTTATGTTAAGTTTTGCGTTTTAACTGTTTTCACCAATCGGTTTCCCACCTGGCCAGGTCTGTCATGCCACCGAGCGCCTGGCAAAGGACGTTCGACAAAGGACGAAACAGGACAACGAAAGGACGAAAGGAAGTCCAAAGAAAAGAAAGGAGCAGCTAAGGAGTTCCACGTGCCATAAGATAACGAAAGGAGCATAAGGAAACCAAGGAGAAAGAAAACAATGTCGTGCCATCTTTTGGACTCATGGGACTTCCACGCCTCAATGGCCTCATCCTTGGCTTTTCTACTTTTTTTGTCCTCTTTCTTGTCCTTCTTATCTTTTTTCTTTTTCTTTTTCTTCTTTTTTCTGTCATCACCTTGGCACGCATTCAAATCACCTTAAACTTCTTGCAACAGTAAACATTCAATATATTTCAAACAATCAGCCGTTTAGCATACTATCCAACACTAAGTTTACTTCTAAGGCCACTGCTATCCGAATCGCTATTGTGTGCTGAGTGCTCAGATGTCCTCAGTCTGAGGATGTCTGAGGTGTTGCCAGCAAGGTGTCATATGATGAGTCATATGTGTCATGTGTGTCATATGAGGCCCCAAATCATATGGCCAAGTGCTGAACCTTGGTGAGTTCTTCTCATCAATGCCATCTTTGGACAGGTCAATGATCTCATCTGCGGCCTCAGCCGATTAAAGGGACAGGAATTCCTACAACTCTTACAGCTTCAGACCAGTGACAGATTGATGTCTTGGCACCGGACGCTAGCTTTCTTGTCACTGGCCCTTAGGCGTGACCAATTGAAAAGTATTGAAACACTGAAAACATCGCTGGGTCTGGTCCTGCCTTGGCTTTGCCATGGGTGCGTCAGTGTAGTCTAAGCCTCTGCAGCGCTGCCGATGCTTGGAAGGAGTTGAAATCCAAGGTTGAGTTCTAGTGGTTAGATTGCAACGCCCTTTCGAACGAGAGATGATCAAGTGTTTCGGTGGTGTTAGCTGGCTAGGGACATCCGGAGGCGTAAACAACTTACAGTACCAGCTTCCGGCTGTGTGTATCAGCCAAAACATGTTTGAGGACTAGCATGACAGGTAGCCGCCAGTTTCTGCTCATGTCCACTGGATCCTGGTAATAGCTTGTACTGTACTCCCTCCCAAACGACATAAACGACATAGACAAGGCATAAACAACCAAGTGCCATGAGTGCCATGAGTGCCATGAGTGCCATGGAGTGCCATGGAGTGCCATGGAGTGCTCTAAGTGCCATGCCTTTTTCTTTCTTTTCACGATTTTCACCTTGGCATTTTGGGACTGCAACGGGATCCAATGAGATCCGCGAACTGGGAGACTGGCTGCCCAAGCCATGCCTGGAAGCGCTGTCCTGGGGAAAATCTGAGTCAGCTTTCTTTCTACAGAACGTTTTTTGTTTCCCCTTATCTTTTATCAATAAATAACTCTCTCTCTCTCTCTATATATCGTTTATGTACGTTTTTATATACAGTACGTTTAACCGTTTATGATTATTGAATAGCCAGGGTAAGCAATGCTATACTGCGATCATGTGATTTTTCCTCATCTTTCTTTTTGTCTTGAATCTTTCCATATTTCTCAATCAAAACCTGAATCCTGCTGTAAAACGGGTGTGGTGTTTGGTGTTTGGGTTACGCTTTGTAGCGGCTTTGCAGCGGCTCCCGAGAGTTCATGGCGTCCACGAACCCAGGAGTTCCTGCGCTGCTGGACCTGAACGGCAGAACGGCAGAACTCAGAACTCCAGGTGACTCGGGTGGATTAAGATGGATTAAGTGGATGATGGAATACGGTGGATATGATACCTGGATATGTTCATATGTCCATCTGCATCCCTGCTGAGCCCTAGCAAGACAAATCCAACACTAAAAGCCCAGACAATCAACCGCCGCAATGAATTTCTTTGTAATTAATCTGCTGTGGCAAGCAAAATAATATAAAGAATAATGCAGATATCTATGCAAGTATATTTTATGTACGTGAAGATGTGGCATTATACCACACACACACACACACACACACTCGCATATGTATTCATTAATTTTATGTATGCATGTATATATGTATGTATGCCATGCCATGCCATGCCATGCCATGCATGTATGTAAGTTGGAACATGTTGGAACATGTTGGAACACATGTATGTTCAGCATTGTTCAGCCATATGCACATGAAGTATACGTCTGTGTGTGGGGCAAAGTGCCACAGGTGATGAAAATTGATACACGACCATCACCACAGTGTGGTTTGAACGCGAAAGACGAGACGGCGCGGCTCATCTCCAACGATCTGGGGGCTCTGCAGCAATAGTCTCAGCATTTTCATCTTTAGGTACAGGACCTTGCTGCGGTTCCCCAAGAATGGGACCATGCTTCCCATTGAGAGCAACGCATGCAGTGTATTGATGGTCTTGATGCAATCTCTTGTTGTGTAAGTTGTGTAGTCATCGTTCATTCGAATGGGTACAACGTGTCCAGGCACGTCAAACTTACAATAAACATGGAACTTTATGAGCATTCAACTTCATTTCAAAGAGGACGGACCCTTTTGACATTGCTACATGCAGACCCGAGAATAGCATCAGCAAAGGCTCAGTGCAATAGTTTGAGGGGTTGGAGGTCAAACACAGAGTAGCACACTAATGATGTTTGTAGTGACCGCAGCCACTAAATAGGATAAGCCACTGGTGTTCTGCCCCTGTTAATCCTGTTATCTCCTGTCTGAGGTCATTCTCTTCCAGTCTTCCAATCGAACCAAGCGTGGCCCTAAGATGCCCTAAGGTGCTTGGATCGAGCAACGTCCAGGGCCCGCCTGCATTTTCGCAGGTCTGGGATCCGTCCAGGTGCTCAACCGTTCCTGCTCGTCTGGTCGGATGGTCCAAATTTGATAGTTGGTGTAACAAAAAGGAACAAGATGGAATCAAAATTGAACAAGATGGAATCAAATGGAATCAGATGGAACAAGGATATACAAGGATCAAGAAAGACCTAAACTCATCGTGGCTGAAGACGTTCCTCACTTATTCCACTCGCGGATTCAGAATACTGGCCTCTTTGTTGAAGAAGAAGCGGTTGCCCTGTTCGTCTTGATGTTCTGACCTGCCAAATGAAGCTTGGAGGTACCAAAATTTGTTTGAAAAGCTTCTGCATATTCCTTGGATTTCCTTGGTGTGTTGAATGGAAAATCCATAGGCTCCTCAATGTCTCCCTCTCATTTGGTGGGCAGCGCCTCCCTGGGCCTCCCTCCACTTATGATCGAACAAGAATATTCCATACACCTTGACAATCTTGATACCTTTGCGCGCCAAATGTAGAACAACCCCTGTTGGTAGGAGCCTCTGGATTTTCGGCCGCCTTTTCGTTCTGAATGGAACTTAAGCCTACCAAGACTTCTGAGGAGGCAGCCATTTGTTGACCTCCTTTTGCGTCTCCTGGCAGAAACGAGCAGGTTTTGATCTTCTGCAATCCTAGCCAGTTATCATATATGGCTTCCCTCAAACTTCCTGGCTGGGTTTGACTTTGACCATGTTTGACCTTCAATCTCTCTTTCAATTTGCTCAATAGCTCATGCCTGGTCCATTTGTCGGACTTCCGCTTGCAGCTTTGACAAGGCATCTGCTCTCTCCTGTGAATCAGGCACAAGACACTAGCACTTGTCAAAGGCTGTGCCTTTCACGGAAGAACATCAGACTAATATGAAGACACCTTGCAGAATTTGTGAAATTCAACAGAGCCCACGCAAATACAGGAAAACAATTGTTGCTGACAAACAAAAGTCCGTGCAGGGTCACCTACGGTCACCTACGCGATCCTACGTGTAACAAGATTCTCTGAAACCAGCAAACGAGCCTGCGCAGACATTGTAGAGTTGCGCAACTGAAGCAAGGTGGCGCAATACATAGCCCAAACAACCCATATCGACTCATCGATCAACAGTCAACATTCATCAACATTCATCAACTGAGTATGTCTGAGTGCTGAACGCTAACGATGGTCTTGTAGGTATCTCTATACACATGCTCCAACGGATGGGTCCTCAGAGTTGAGGCAGTTGAGGATTCGAGGGTTCAGTTTCTGGCGACACGGCCTATATTTTGACT